CACAGAAAGAACCTTGAGAGCAAACTGCTGCTGAAGCTGAACCATCACCTCACTGAGAGAAGAAATGGCACATTTTTGCTAAATATGCAGAAATAGATGCACACACATACAACTCATGGTAAACTGAGCTGCCTGTATGAACATACGCTGAAGATGCCTCGTTCTGTTTTCTCTGAGGCTGCCATGTGCCATTTGGAGCAAAAATGAATATAAAGTTTCTTGTCACTGGAAATTGTTTGCACTGTTTATATATTTATATTATTTACTGCAGGTATTGGTGAAAAAAGCTTTATGTTGTGAAAAACTGAAACCTGGAAATTAGAATTGTTGTGCCTTATTTTGTTGATGTTTTTACATATATTCCTGTTGAAAATACTAAAATTTGTATATTTTTATTTGGCTGATAGCATTTATTTATAAAATAAATCCAACATTTCAAACAGTTACTCGCTACTTGAGTAGTCTTTTCTCCAAGTACTTTTTTACTCTTACTTGAGTAACTTTTTTGAAGACTACTTTTCACTTTTACTTGAGTAATAATATTTTAAAGTAATGCTACTCTTACTTGAGTACAATTTTTGGATACTCGACCCACCTCTGTATGTTAAGTTGAGGCGACACCAGGTCACATCAGCTGCAACATAAACAATCCTGATTCAGAGCGACTGACTGGGTCACACAGAGAGGAGGAGACACTTATTATCCCAGTTATGTCAGACATGAAGATGAATCCAGATCAGATCAGCGCCTCCCTCTTATTCTCACTTCTGTGTTCAGCAGTCCGCCCTGAGATAATCCAACCTCAACGGGCTAAAGTGGGACACGCACAGCGTCACCTAGCATTTGCATCAAACGAGGTGGAGGAACGGCAGCGAGAGACCCACGAGAAAAACAAGCACATCTCCTAAGTGTAGTGCACCATGCCTCCTAATGACCAACCACAGAATCTTTGACCTTTGACCTGCAGTCGTGGGTGGTACTAACCGTTTAAAGAGTGGCCCGGTCCTCCAGATGTTGGTGTTTCCCACGCAGCCCCGTGGAGGTTCAGTGATGTTCTCCTTCTCAAACAGCTCCTGCAGAGACTGCGCCACCACGGCCACGGCGTCCGCGATGTGCGCCGACTCGTTCTTACCGTTAATCAGCTGGAGGCCCAGCAGGCCTGTGCCCACACACACGCACACACAGCAGGTAGTTAAACAGGCTGCAGACTCAAAGCTGTCCTCATTCACACACACATGGTAATTAAACACTCGCACACACTTTCATTCAGCTGATGTAATTACACAGTGCATCAGTGTAATTCAAACACACACTCGGGGCTTCAGGCGTCAGGTCAGTGTTCATCACGACCAAACTGCATGCTGGGAGTTCACTCTGACAATCACAGCGTTTGTCTCAGCAGAAAAGCCTCACTGAGACGTCATGAAGAGTGTGTGGTGTTTTCCTTCAGCACAAGCTCGTCATGCTGCGTAAAGTGTCTGCATCTGTCTCCAAGCTGGGCCAAAACGGGTGGCTAACAGTGCTAGCATCCCCCAAAATCTACTGGTAAAAGCTAACGGACAGTGTTAGCATCTCGCAAATGAACCACAAGTAAAAGCTAACGGACAGTGTTAGCATCTC